TTACAGCAATATAATGCTAAGCAAACAAAGTCCCAAAAGGTTGCCGATGGATGATGTGGCATCCTTTTTAATTAATTATAGACAGTTATCACCTGCACTTTTTAGGCAGCACATGTTCTACAGTGGAATATATATATAATAGAGGCAAAGAAGTGGTGAATGGGAGATCCTGGAGGTTACTTCTGGGGAGGACAAATGGGCAGAGAAGATGGGGAAGCTTGCGGTTACGGTTACCGATAAATGGAGGAGGTTACATCATGATATGCTTCATGGTGGCTGCATTATTGAAAACAGGAAGGGAGGAAGAGGCCTCGCGTGGACCAACGATCACAGTGTGAGGGCGCCACGAACCGAGGATGATGACTCATGTGTGCACTTCAGGCCACAGAGAACGTACAACTTTGAACCCTGGTTTTTGGGCAGACACTTTTCCAAAGCTGGCTCCTGCGCGGGGACCAAGGGAGGCGCTGCCCCCCCGCTGGCCGCCAGAGGGCGCGCGCCGCTAGGGGAGGGCGTGGCAGCCGACCGGGCCGCCACCTGCGCCTGGGGGTTTTGTTTTTGCAAAAGGAAAGGTGAGCCCAGCTGGGAGCTGTGGCAGCGCCCCAACAGGCGTGGCTGCTGGCAGGAGATCCCGGGGGCTCCCCAGGGAGTGCATCCCCCCTCCCCGCCCTCGCGCCCGCCCCGGGGTTTCAGAGGAAGCAGCTGCCCGCCCCGCGGAGCCTCTCTGCGCTCCTGGCCATGGCCCCGGTTTCCTGCCGCGGGCCCCCATCTCCCCAGAGGCCCGCGGAGTTGCAAACGGAGGGCTCGCTGGCTGCATCTACTCCCCGCGCCGGCTTGGTCGGTACCTTTAAAAGGTTTATTTGACCCCCGCCGGCGTGGCTCAGCGGTTGAACTTGAACCTATGAACCAGGAGGTCACTGAGCCGAGTTGCAGGCTCAGTCCCCGGGGTGGGGCATGCAGGAAGCAGCCAATGATTCTCTGTCATCACTGATGTTTCTCTCTCTGAAATACATTAAAAATATATATATTAAAAAAAAAAGTTTATTTGGCCGAAACCGTCTTGGCTCAGTGGATATAGAGTGTTGGCCTGCGGACTGAAAGGTCTCAGGTTCGATTCCGGTCAAGGGCATGTACCTTGGTTGCGGGCACATCCCCCGTAGGGGGTGTGCAGAAGGCGGCTGGTTGATGTGTCTCTCTCATTGATGTTTCTGGCTCTCTGTGCCTCTCCCTTCCTCTCTGTGAAAAATCAATAAAATATATTTTAAAAAAAGTTTACTTGGGAACACTTTAAAAATCAGGAAATGCTTTGCCTAAAAGTCCTGATTTCCCCTTCTCTGGGCAGCAGTGTGCTGCCGTCCCCTCCCGGCCCTCATGCTGGCTGTCATCGCTGCCCAGGAGTGAGTGAGCGAGCCCCATGGCACACGTCCCACCACAGAACTCCCTTTCCTGCACACCTCTGCGTGGGGCTAACCAAGGGGCCTCTAAAAAAGGTGCATAATTTTCTCCGCACACTGAAGAGTGTAATGAAACCCAAGCGATACAAGTGGCCTCAACCTCCTTGCAAGGTGCAGAGGCGCCAGGTGAGCTCAGGGCGGTGGGTGGCCCTCAGGGTGCCCCTCCGTCCGCCTGCTCTGCCCCGGGCGGTGCCCTGCCCATGCCCCTGCCCAGCAGCCCGCCGGCAGCTCCTTCCATCGAGTTAGGGGCTTCCTCGTGTGTGCTTTTTCCAGACAGAGAAACCCCCCTTTTCAATCTGAATCCTGTGTGAGACTCCATAATGTCAAACAGGAAATAGGATATCAATACAAAGCCACCATTTACTTATTATATAAAAGCCGGTTCCTAAGAACGGCGGGTTAGTTGGAAAAGCCCAGTATGGAGTAAGGAGCTGGTGAGGCTGTAGCCTCTTTGGCTTCATCCTGCTGTTCTTTCTTTTTTCTTTTTTTGTAAAATATACTTTATTGATTTTTTACAGAGAGGAAGAGACAGGGATAGAGTTGGAAACATTGATGGGAGAGAAACATGGATGAGGCGCCTCTTGCATCAACCAGCCGCCTCCTGCACATCCCCTACTGGGGATGTGCCCGCAACTAAGGTACATGCCCTTGACCGGAATCGAACCTGGAACCTTTCAGTCCGCAGGCCGACGCTCTATCCACTGAGCCAGACTGGATAGGGCCCCGCGGCTTTTTCTTTCCTTTTTTTTTCTTTTTAATTTCTTTATTTTATTTTATTTTATAAAAAATATATTTTATTGATTTTGTACAGAGAGGAAGGGAGAGAGATAGTTAGAAACATCGATATGAGAGAGTCATCGATCAGCTGCCTCTTGCACAACCCCTACTGGGGATATGCCCGCAACCAAGGTACATGCCCTTGACCAGAATCGAACCCGGGTCCCTTCAGTCCCCAAGCCGACGCTCTATCCATTGAGCCAAACCAGTTTTGGCTAAATTTCTTTATTGATTAAGGTATTACATGTGTTATTCCCCCCAATACTCCCCACCTCCCATTCATGCCCCCACCTCCCTGTTGTCCGTGTCCATTGATCAGCCAAGGACTTCCCTGATGTTTCTCTCTCTGGGCCTGTTTTAATCCTGCCGGACGGAGGCCCGGCTCGCCTGGGAGGGGCTGGGAGGCGCCTTAGCAGCTGCAGGCCACGGGCAGGGCCCCAACCGAGGCCTCCGGAGGCGAGGGTGTGGCTCCGCGTTGACGTTGGCTGCTGCTGACAGCCGTGTGCGTGTTGTAGGTGCTGCCGGATGTGGTGCACATAAAACCAGGTACCCGTGAGGCCCCCGCCCCACCCCGAAGCGCTGAGCTCACAGGATGCAGGTCAGAAACCGCCCCCCGGGGAAGTGGCGGTTGCCGAGGGCCCCAAACCAGCTGCGTTTCCCTGGCGACACCAGTTTGCTTTCCATGCTGGTAAGAGGCTGGGCGGCCGGGCCCAGGGGATGGGCCACGCTGGATCACCAAGCATCCCTCCCAGCCGGAGGCCCAGGGTCGGAGTGTGTCAGGCCAGGGCCAGCGGTCCAAGGAGGAAGCCAGGCAGCGCCAGCCCTGCCCTGACCAGGGGCCCCCGGTGGGGTGGGCCTAGGAGACACCAGACCTGGACTCACATTCCAGCTCTGTCACGTACCTCACATCACCCCGGCTTTCGGCTTTCTCCTCAAGTCTCCAACTCCACTGCCAGGTCCCTCAGGGTGCAGGTGCTTCCCCTCAGGCCCTCAGAGGCAGGGGCAGGCAGCCCTGGGCAGCGTGCTCCAGTGGTTAGAGCGTCAGCCCATGCTGAGGGCTGCGGGTTCACTTCCTGGTCAAGGCCACGTGTCTGGGTTGCAGGTTGGATCCCCGTCGGGGTGCATGGGGGAGGCGACCAATCGATTTCCCTCTCTCTCTCATATCGGTGTTTCTGCCTCCCACTCTAAAAATCAGTGGAGCCCACTGGCGTGGCTCAGCGGGTGAGCATCCACCTATGAACCAGGAGGTCATGGTTCAATTCCCGGTCAGGACACATGCCTGGGCTGCAGGCTCCATCCCCAGAGTGCGGTGTGCTGGAGGCAGCCGATCCATGATTCTCTCTCATCGTTGATGTTTCTCTCTCTCTCAGTCCCATCTCTTCTGAAATCAAAATAAAAATATGCACTGAGCCAGGACCGGTTTGGCTCAGTGGATAGAGCGTCGGTCTGCGGACTGAAAGGTCCCGGGTTCGATTCCGGTCAAGGGCATGTACCTTGGTTGCGGGCACATCCCCGGTGTGGGGTGTGCAAGAGGTGGCTGGTCGATGTTTCTCTCTCATCAACGTTTCTAACTCTCTGGCCCTCTCAATTCCTATCTGTGTAAAATCAATAAAATATATTTTTAAAAAACATATGCACTGAGTGTCCAGATTACTATGATCTCTGAACACATAATAATCTGGCCACTCAGTGTCTATCCTATATAATAAACGGCTAATCTGCAAATTGTCCCCTCTACTGGAAGTTTGGCCAGCAGGCAGGCCGGTCAACTGCCCATGTCCCCTCCCCCTGGCCAGGCCCCACCCATGCACGAATTCATGCCCCAGGCCTCTAATATATATATATATATACACAGAGTGGCCAGATTATTATGATCTCTGAACGCATAATAATCTGGCCACTCAGTGTATCTACACAACAGACTTACCATTTTAACGTTTTTCAGGTACACAGTGCAGTGGCATTAGTGACATTTACATGATGGTGCCCCACCACCGCTGTCCACCTCCAGAATGTCTTCATCTTCCCGAATGGAAACGGTACCCATTAAACACGGAGTCCCTATTCCCCTGGCCCCAGACGGGGCCACCACCATCCTCCCGTCTGTCTCTGCATCTTCGGGAGGGACTCGGACAGCAGCTGTTGCTTTGTGTCCGGGCTGTTGCACACCACAGAGTGTCTCTCTGAGTCATCCCCGGGGTGGCACATGTCAGAATGTCCTTGTTTTAAGGCTGCCCGTGTTGCTCTGCATCCTGCTGTATGCCTTTCGTGAACAGCATCGACTTCCACCCCTGAAATCAATTTACTTTGAAAACATGCAGATCTCGAGAGGCCACTGGGCTCTGCATCCTTTCCTGGTCTCCCCGCCCCCGGGCCTGCTCCCCGGGCAGCATCTCCTGGTTTTACCACCTCCACATCGACGGGATCCTACGCCGGGTGGCCCTTCCCGCCAGCGTATCCTTCTGGCTTAATAAGAAATCCTTCTTGCCCTGGCCGCTTTGGCTCAGTGGATAGAGCTTCAGCCTTCGGACTCAAGGGTCCCAGGTTCGATTCCGGTCAAGGGCATGTATTACCTGGGTGGCGGGCACATCCCCAGTAGGGAGTGTGCAGGAGGCAGCTGATCGATGATTCTCTCTCATCGATGTTTCCGACTCATGCCTCTCCCTTCCTCTCTGTAAAAAATCAATTATATATATATATATATATATATATATATATATATACACACACACACACATTATATATATATTTAAAGAAATCCTTCTACAATTGGCCAAGTCAATATTTTATTTAAAAAAAACACAAAAAACCACACACACGCACCCACATACGCACACGCGCACACACACACACACACACACATGCACACACGAAGGCAGAGCCGGGAAAGGAGGCTGAGATCGCGTCTTTGGGGTCAGGCTGACGACCGCGTGCTTCTCTCCACAGGCCGGCCGCACGCGAGGAAAGAGCAGATGCCCAGGCTCCCTACACAGGAGCGGGCGTGGTCTTCACGGGGAGACCGAAGGCGGGTCGCTCCGGAGGAGTGGGGTTTGTGCAGGCGTCTCCAGAAACCTCCCGGCCGCCAGGTGAGGTGCGGAGGCCAGACTGGGCCTGAAAAGCAGGAGGCGGAGGCCAGATCTCCCTGGAGGCTGCTTTTCTTTCCCGGACAAGGAGGGTCTTCTCCGAGGAAGGCCGGGGGAGAGGCCGGAGCCGCTCGCTCGGGAGCCGGGAGGGAGGAGCAGGCCCTCCCGCGCCCACCGGCGGGCAGGGCGTTGGCACAGGCACACAGGTTCGGAGGTCTCTCGGGAGGTCACCGGCCCGCGGGGCCTGCTGCCGGCGGGCACACGTCCTGCGGGGCCTTCCTGCGGGGCCCCCTGCGGGCCCGGAGGCCGCGGCGGCCTCAGACGGCTGCATCTGGGGAGGAAGAGGCAACGTGAGGCCGGCCGGCCGGCCAGTGCAGGGCCCGCTCAGAAGTCACACACCAGCCGGGGACCCACATTCCGCTAGGGGCCCTGCCTTCCTCTCCAGCACCAGCTTTCACTGGGACTATTTTATTGTCTAAATGCATCTCAAAAAAAAAAAAAAAAAAAAAAATTAGCCCTAACCGTTTTGGCTCAGTGGATAGAGCGTCGGTCTGCGGACTGAAAGGTCCCAGGTTCCATTCCGGTCAAGGGCATGTACCTTGGTTGCGGGCACATCCCCAGTGGGGAGTGTGCAGGAGGCAGCTGGTCGATGTTTCTCTCTCATCGACGTTTCTAGCTCTCTATCCGTCTCCCTTCCTCTCTGAACAAAATCAATTAAAAAAAATATTTTTTTAAAAAGAAAATGCTGCCGAAACCAGTTTGGCTCAGTGGTGGAGCGTCGGTCTGTGGACTGAAGGGTCCCGGGTTCGATTCCGGTCAGGGGCATGTATATACATTGGTTGCGGGCACATCCACAGTAGGGGGTGTGCAGGAGGCAACTGGTTGATGTTTCTCTCTCATCGATGTTTCTAGCTCTCTATCCCTCTCTCCTCCTCTCTGTAAAAAATCAATAAAATATATTAAAAAAAAAAAGAAAAAAAAGAAAAAAAAAGAAAATGCTTCTCTATCAGAGGCTGGCACGTTGGGGCATTCCTGGGCGCGGTGGGCATGGCCGGAGTAGAGGTCCCGGGCGCCCGTGCCCTGGCGGCCTCCACTGCAGACGGCAGTCTGTGATGTGTCGGGAAGGCGGGGACAGGCTGTGCTCCGGCCCCTGAGCTCACGGAGAGCACCCGTGTCCGGACGATCGGCACTCACCGGTGGACTGGGTCACACAGGAGATCTTGTAGGACAGCCACACGCTCGCGAGGCAGAGGAAGGTGGCCAGGAAGCCGAAGATCTGCACGGGAGAGAGGGGACAGGCACAGGGAGCTCCGGTCAGGGGCCAGTCCCCGGCAGTCTTTCTGCTCTCCATCCCCATGCCTGTCCCTGCCCGGAGGGAGCTGGGGGAACCCCCTGACCCAAACACCCCACCCTGGCTCAGGGGGAGGGCCAGGCCCTGTGCCCAGGGCTCCCGGCTGGGACCCAGGTCTCCACCCCTCCCTCCGCCCTCCTCACTCTGGGCAACTCCCGCCCCCGCCCACGTTCAGGTTTGTTTCAGCCGAGCTGGGCCAAGCCACTGGGCGTTAGTGATCCCCGGCCAGCGGTCGGCAAACTGCGGCTCGAGAGCCACACGCGGCTCTTTGGCCCCTTGAGTGTGGCTCTTCCACAAAATACCACGGCCTGGGCGAGCCTATTTTGAAGAAGTGGTGTTAGAAGAAGTTTAAGTTTAAAAAAATTGGCTCTCAGCCCAGCCGGGTGTGGCTCAGCGGTTGAGCATCAACCCAGGAACCACGAGGTCACTGGTTCGATTCCCGGTCAGGGCATATGCCTGGGTTGCGGGCTCCGTCCCCAGTTCGGGGTGTGCAGGAGGAAGCCAATCCATGATTCTCTTTCATCATTGATGTTTCTATCTCTCTCTCCCTCTCCCTTCCTCTCTGAAATCAATAAAAATATATTTAAAAAAAACTTTGGCTCTCAAAAGAAATATCAATCGTTGCCCTGTGGATATTTGGCTTCTGTGGACTAAAGAGCTTGCCGACCACTGTCCTGGGCTAACGAGAAAAGAAAAAGGCGGGATCGTGCATTCCAACTTGGGTTTTAAAATGTGTGATGGTCAAATGGATTCTATTGGTGCGACGGCACCGCTTGCATTTCATTCATGACTGTGTCTGCCTGGCCTCGGAGCTGGGGGACAGCGAAAAGCAGGCGCACACGCTGGTGTCCGGTCTGGAACCGCAGAGCCCGAAGCCCCACACCTGGCAGCTACGGCTGGTTGACGGGGCCCTCACTCTGTGCCCACCCGTCTTCCAACGCTGCCAGGTGGGTCCCGGGGGACCCTCTCAGCCCCTCACTTTGCAGCTGAAGAAATGGAGGGATGGAGGTGGGGTGTGGGGGTCAACGCTTCGCCCAGGGCCATGGAGACAGCAAGGGCCAGACCTGGGACTGGAGCCCGGGGCGTCTGGCTCCGGGTCCACACGCTGCTCTGCCCGGGGCCCAGCTGTCCTCAGGCCGCTCTGCAGCCGCCAAGGGCCCTCGGGAACCACAGCTGCCGTCTAGGACAGTGGTCGGCAAACTCATCAGTCCACAGAGCCAAATATCAACAGCATGACGATTGAAATTTCTCTGGAGAGCCACATGTTTTACACTTAAACTTCTTGTAAAGCCACTTCTTCAAAACAGACTCGCCTAGGCCGTGGTATTTTGTGGAAGAGCCACACCCAAGGAGCCAAAGAGCCACGTGTGGCTCTCAAGCCGCAGTTTGCCTACCACGGGTCCAGGAGGAAGGGCCTGGGGGGAAGGGCAGGATCTTCAAGGCTGGGCTTTCTCTTCAAACCTGGCTGTTGGTGTGCAAAAGGGGCTGTCCCCTGCCCTGCCCCCACCCCCCACAGGCCCACGCACCCTCTCCCCTCCCCCCAGCTCCGTCCCTTTGGCTCCTCTGGTACTGATTGTCTGTGTCACACAATCGGCCCCTTGGAGCCGGTCCCAGCCTCTCGGTGTCGGCTCTGCACCAGGAGCACATTGTCTGCCACCCTGGCCTCCCACAATCTGCACTGCGTGACCGACAGCTTCTTCTGTGGCCACAGAGAGCCCTTCTGGGGGGCAGGGCCTCGTCTGCGGACTGTTCCACCCACCTCGGCCTGGACGCCTGAACGGCACCACCACTCTCTCCCATGAGCAAGGGCCCTACCTTCTTATTTCTTCCACAGAATTGGGTCTGGTCCTTGACACAGAGACGGCGTGTGATAAATTGGGGGGGGGGGGAGAGGGAGGGATGGGGATATCAGGGGAGGGATGGGGATGACAGGGCTAACACCATTTGGTGCAACCTGAAGCCTACAACCTGTGGGCATCTCCCCATGGGGCCTGACGCAGTGGGCACAACTTCTCTCTGTGCCTCCTCCCCCGGCCTGCCTGCAGGTGGAGCCCCGGGGCTGGCAGGAGACTGCAGGAGGGGGTCCTGAGGGGCACAAGGTGGTGGAGGGGAGAGAGGGCTGTGGGTGGCCCTTGAGGGGGCAATGGTGTTTGGAGGCGTGACCTCCTGCCCCACGCCGACCTTTCGAGGGCAGACCAGACCCCTCCGTGGGATTCCGGGAGCGAACCCACTCTTGGCCCAAAGCCTGGGGGATGTGGGTGAAGCCTGCCCAGGGGAGAGCGGCTGCCACGCAGACAGCTTTCGTTCTGAAAGTCTCGCTCCTTGGTGAGGCAAATCGGTACTGGCCCACAGGCCACCCAGCGGAAGAGAACTCGCTAAGAGATCAACCGAAGGATTTGTATGCATGCAGATAAGCATAATCAATGGACAAAAAACTCTTGGGGGGGGGGCATGTATGGGAGTGGGGGTGGGGTGGGGATTGGTAAGGTACGTACACATATAATATCTTAATTCAAAAAAAAAATGAGGGGGGGGAAAGAAATCGTATGACAGGAGTCTATAAATCTTTACAATAATGGCATACCCACACATATACCAGTACATGCGTGTGTATTTGTAGATATAAATTTGGTGGGTATAAATGGATCCCACGGCACTGCAGTGTTGTCCGTTTCCAGGCTACCTCTATTGAGGCTATCCGAGAGGTCCATTTCACCTTTGAAGGAACAGGAGGATTCCTTCCTAGCCTGAATACGTACGGCTAAACGTTAGGACAGATAAAGCTAGGACTGACGGCCGACCTCCCTTGGGCCCACGAGGCTCCAGACCATTTCCCGGCACACGGTGGGGGGGGGGGGGCCGAGGCAGCCCCGAGCACACGACCACCCTGGACGCGTGGTTTCAAGTCCACGTGCCTCCCGACGTAAGCGGTGGCTGCGAGAGAGGGGGCCACTGGGGCGATCGGTGTAAGGTGACCAGACGTCCCGCTTTAGGCGGGACAGTCCCGATTTTTAATGCGGCGGGACACATTGTTAAAAATCGGGACGGTCCCGCCCAAAGCGGGACGTCTGGTCACCTTAGATTGGGGTGCCCACAGCCCTGGTGATTCACCTCCCGGGACCCTCGGTGGAAGCCTCGTTGGAGCCCGGGCTGGCTGGACCGAGGTGGGTACCGATGCTGAGAGAGAACGGCCCCGGAGAACAATCCCCCCGCCGCTGTCCCCGTCTGGAAGGAGACGCGCTCGGACGGCACAGATCCTCACCGAGGCGGCCACCAGCTCGCTCTGGCTGTAGCTCTTGGAGGCGGCCACGATGGAGGCGATGAGGAGGAGCAGGGTGCCGATCAGATAGTGCAGGAGCTCCTGGGGGCGAAAACAGAGCAGAGCCGTGGGTCGGGGGGCCTCCGGGCGTCAAAGAGATGGACAGAGGGGAAGGGGGTGTAACACCCCAAAGACCACAGCCAACGGATGCATCAGGCAGCCAGGAGGATGCGTGAGGCTGGCCAGGATGCGGCCGAGCAAGAGAGAAAAGGTGCCAGGCAGGCAGGGAGGAAGGGGACAGAGAGAAAGGACGGAGAGAGGATGGAAACCCACTCAAGGCTGCTCCGCCCCGGAGACCAGCCTGCAGACCGTGCCTTTACCTCCGGCCAAAGCTGCTACCGAGCACCGGAGTGCCGCCCAGCACCCGGGCTGGAGAGCATGAGCAAAGCTCGAGCCCCGAGAAGCGGGGCCCCTGACAGAGATGGGTGCCTTTTGCTTCTGCCTCAGAGAACGTTTTAGGCTCACAAGGTGCTTGGGTCTGGGGGCTGCCTGTCCTACGAACTGTTTTTTATTCTATTTTATTTTTTTATTTATATATTTTTAAAATATATTTTATTGATTTTTAAAAATATATTTTATTGATTTTGTACAGAGAGGAAGGGAGAGAGATAGAGAGTTAGAAACATTGATGAGAGAGAGTCATCGATCTGCTGCCTCCTGCACACCCCATACTGGGGATATGCCCGCAACCAAGGTACATGCCCTTGACCGAAATCGAACCCGGGACCTCTCAGTCCCCAAGCCGACGCTCTATCCATTGAGCCAAACAGGTTTCGGCTATTTTATTGATTTTTTAACAGAGAGGAAGAGAGAAGGATAGAGAGGTAGAAACATCGAGAGAGAGAGAGAGAGAGACAGAGAGAGAGAGAGAGAAACATTGATCAGCTGCCTCCTGCACACCTCCCACTGGGAATGTACCTGCAACCAAGGTACATGCCCTTGACGGGAATCAAACCTGGGACCCTTCAGTCCGAAGGCCGATGCTCTATCCACTGAGCCACACCGGTCAGAGCCTGGAGTGTGGTCCCCGGCCCCTCTGCGAAAGGCTTGGGCGTGTGGTGGGCGCCGGCACTCTCACCCCTAACTAAGAACCTCTGGCTTTGTCTGTTCGTCGTCTTCCCTCTTCTCTCCTCTCCAGAAGCGAATCTGAGGCCAAGCTCCCGGGTAAGTCTCCTGGTGGGACTGACTCCGCCCGCAGGCCCACAGGGCTGTCCGTCACCCTCCAGGATTAGGATGTCCTTCAGCGGCATGGAAGCACTGGCCACCTCTTCCTCCTTCCTCCCCAGTAAATTCCAGGTCGGAGCAGAACTGGGGTTCAAGGCCATTCGTCACGCTCACTCTGAATCCAGAGCGTGCGTGTGCATTTGCTGTCTCCTGCGAGAGCTCAGAGAGGAGTCCTCTGTGAAGGTCTGCCCATCAGGGTGGGCGGGCAGCTGTTCAATGCTGGGCAAGCATTCCCCTCTCAGCTCCTGTCAAAGCCGAGCAAAACCAAAGACCCCGACTTCTCCCCGAGCGACGAGAAAGGAGGATCGCAAGGTGGGCCACAGAGATTCCGGCCAAGCGCAGATCAGTAGCTGGAGGTTCCCTATGCCACGATTCTCCGGAGAAAAGGACCTGAGAGAGAGTCCTAAAGGGAAGGAGCCAACTTGCACTGGGCTAAAAAAATGGGCGGCTGATGTATCGTTCCAACACACGCTCCCCTTTCAGCCATCCTCATTCTCCTCTCCCAGCAGTTATTCTCCCCTTTGCTTGCTCCTGTGAGCATCAGGAAAGCCCAGAGGAGTTTGCTCTCAAAAGCAGCGAAAAGGTGCCTTTGAAAGGGGCCTTACAACTTAGGAACCAAAGAAATTTCTCTTAAAACGTGAATGATTAAACAATTCAACCAAGAGGCAGAGGTTGTCAGAATAGATTTTTTTAAAAAATCCAACTACAGGCTCTCTATAGGAGACACACTTTATAGTCAAAGGTACAAATAGGCTGAAAGTAGAAGGATGGAAAAGACGTGTGATTCAAACGGCAACCAAAAGAAAGCTAGAGCGGCGATAGCTGTACCAGACAAAGTATAATAGGTTTTAAAACAAACAAAAAATGTTACCAGAGATGAAAAGGGACATTTTTATAACGATGGGAGTGTCAATTCGTCAGGAAAATATAACAATTATAAACATGTGTGCACCTACTAACAGAGCAACAAAACACATGAAACAAAAACTCAAGTAAATGGAGAAATAGATAATCCGGAAATAATAGCTGGAGGCTCCAATACCACATACTGTTGAACTGGCGAGAAAAACAACCAGGAAATAGAAGGCTCAAACAATACTACAGAACCACTAGACGTAGCAGGCGTCTATGAAACATTCTATCCAACAACAATAGACTGTACATTCTTCTCAAACACACATAAGACATTCTTCAGCACAGACCGTATGCCAAACCATAAAAACAACCCCACGAGAGGTAAAAGGACTGAAGTAATGGAGGGTGTGCTCTCCAGCTACAACGGAACGAAATTAGAAATCAAACAACACATTCCCTAACTCTGTGGTCGGCAAACTGCGGCTCGCGAGCCACAGGCGGCTCTTTGGCCCCTTGAGTGTGGCTCTTCTTCCACAAAATATTAATACCATGGCCTGGGTGAGTCTGTTTTGAAGAAATGGCGTTAGAAGTTTACGTTTAAAAAATTTGGCCCTCGCCGAAACTGGTTTGGCTCAGTGGATAAAGCTTCGGTCTGTGGACTGAAAGGTCCCAGGTTCGATTCCGGTCAAGGGCATGTACCTTGGTTGCGGGCACATCCCCAGTAGGGGGTGTGCAGGAGGCGGCTGATCAATGATTCTCTCTCATTGATGTTTCTAACTCTCTATCCCTCTTCCTTCCTCTCTGTAAAAAAATCAATAAAATATTTAAAAAATAATAAATAAATAAAAATAAAATCAATAAAAGTACATTAAAAAATTTGGCCCTCAAAAGAAATTTCAATCGTTGTCCTGTTGATATCTGGCTCTGTGGACTAATGAGTTTGCCAACCACTGCCCTGACTAATTCATGGGTGAAAGTGGAAATCACGAGGGAAATGAGAAACATACTTGGAGAGGAATGAAAATGAACCCCCAATCCACCCAACGTAGGGGAGGCAGTGCTCAGAGAGACGCCTGTAGCTGTCAACGCAAAAAAGAAGGAAGGCTTCCTATTCATACCCTAACCTTCACCTGAGGACGCTGGACAAGACGAGCAGAGTAACCCTAACGCAAGAAGGACGCCGGGAAATAGCAAGTGCTGACAAGGACGCAGGAGAAACCTGGAACCCGAATACATTGCCGATGGGCATGTGAATGGATGTGCCACTTTGGGAGACAGTCTGGCAGGTCCTGGGACCATTAAACAGAGTGACCCTGCGGCCCAGCAATTCCGTTCCGAGCTATATTCCCGAGGGAGTGACATCGTGCCCACACAAAAAACTTGCGCAGGAGTGTTCATGGCAGCGTTCCTTATAATAGCCACAAGGCAGAAACAACCCAAGAGTCCACCAGGGATGAGCAGATGGGGTGTATCTGTTCGCTGGAATATTGCTTGGCTATTAGGAGAAGGAAAAGAAAAAAAAAAGGACTGGACACACAATACAACGTAGATAAACCATGACAACACCCTGCTAAGTGAAAGAAGCCAGCCACAGAAGACCATGCATAAGATCCCATTTTCGGGAAATACCCAGAATGGGAAAACTTACAGAGACAGGAAGTACGTCAGTGGTTGGTGGGGGCTGGAGGGGACGAGGGGTGGAAGGGGACAGTGAAAGGGCAGGGAGTGTCTTTTCGAGGCGATGAGGTGTTTCTGACATTGACTGTGGTGGCAGCACAGCTCTGGGAATGTACTAAAACCCAATGAATGATACGTTTAAAATGGGTGACGGTATGGCATGTGAACTACCTACCAATAAAGCTGCTTTAAAAAATAATAGTGTGGAAAGAGAAAACCCTGGCAGCTTTGAAACCTTCCCTCAGACTCTGCCGGTCCATTTTATTTTTTTAATTTTTAAATATATTTTGTTGATTTTTTACAGAGAGGAAGGGAGAGGGATAGAGAGCCAGAAACATCGATCAGCTGCCTCCTACACACTCCCCACTGGGCATGTGCCCGCAACCAAGGTATATGCCCCCAACTGGAATCGAACCCGGGACCCTTGAGTCCACAGGCCGACGCTCTAGCCACTGAGCCACACCAGTCAGAGGGCTCGGCCGGTCCATTTTAGCTGAAAAATGTTATCATTCAATACTCACAACTATGCATCACCGTTGTCAGCTCTTCCTTCCCTGTCCCTCCTCCCAACTCCTCCACACAGCCCAGTATCTGTCACCTGAGAGGATAAACATTGGGGTGAGAGGCAGAGTTTTCCCCGTAGCTGGAAGGTGAGTGTTAGAAAGCAGCGGGACCTCAGACAAGCAGAGATGTCCACCCAACAGTGGGACATTCAGGGCTGAAGCAGCGAAGGACGGTGCCAGAGGTGGGCTGGGCAGACAAGAGGGCTCCAGGGGGGTCTCAGGACCCAGCAAACACCCTGACTCCGGGCCGAGGGCAGGGCCGGGCCGCCCCTTACCGACAGGGGCCAGCTGATGCAGGTGAGCACGCGGTAGAGGCGGAAGAGGTGGACCAGGTAGAAGACGAGGATCATGATGAGGTTGCAGATGGTGACCACTTCGAAGTATCGGTAGGCGCTCTGGCTGAGCCACAGGGAGCTCCTCACGCAGATGAAGGCGATCAGCAGGCTGACCTGGGACAGAAGCACAGACACCTCAGGGACATGCCGCCAGGACGGGCGCCCAGGAACAAACAGTGACGGCGTAACGGAAACAAGAACCACCACCGAAAACCCAGGAACGGCTGCCGTTCAGGATGTTTTCCTACAAAGAGGAGGGATAAACTCTCTTTTTGTTGTTAATCAATAGAGGATGTTTTCCCATTGTTCCCCCCAGCCCCCCAGAGTGGGAGGGAGAGAGAAACATCGATGGGAGACACATCGATGGGTTGCCTCCCACCTGTGCCCCAACCAGGACCGGGGATTGAACCTGCAACAGAGGTACATGCCCTTGACCGGAATCAAACCTGGGACCCTTCAGTCCACAGGCAAGCCGACGCTCTATCCACTGAGCCAAACCAGTGAGGGCTAAACTCTTCTTTTAAAAAAAAAGATTTTATATTATTATTTTTTTAAATATATATATTTTTTATTTCAGAGAGGAAAGGAGAGGGAGAGAGGGAAAGAAACATCAATGATGAGTGAGAATCATTGATCGGCGCCTCTTGCACGCCACACACTGGGGATCGAGCCCACAACCCCAGGCGTGTGCCTTTGACCGGAATTGAACCCCGGACCCTTCAGTCTCCAGGCTCCATCCACTGAGCCAAACTGGCTAGGGCAGGATCTGTTTTATTTTATTTTTTTAATTCCTTTTTATTGTTTGAAGCATTACAAATAGTAGTACATATGTCTCCTTTTCTCCCCCCTTGTCCTCTCCACAGCCTCCCCTACCCCCCCTGCATATGCTTTAACCTACCCTCCACACCAATCAGGATCTGTTTTAAAAGGTCAACTTTAAAAAAATATATATATTTTATTGATTTTTTACGGAGAGGAAGGGAGAGAGATAGATAGCCAGAAACGTCGATGAGAGAGAAACATCAACCAGCTGCCTCTTGCACACCTCCCACCGGGGATGTGCCCACAACCAAGGTACATGCCCTTGACCGGAATCGAACCTGGGACCCCTCAGTCCGCAGACCGACGCTCTACCACTGAGCCAAACTGGCTTCGGCTAAAAGGTCAACTTTCAGGACAAAACTTATTTTATGTTGCCCCTTCCCTATAGAACGGTGATTCTCAAAGGGTGTGTGCGTGGGGTGGGGGTGGGGGGTGGGTTGTGACCTCTGGCGACGTCTGGAGACATTGTTGGCGGTCACACCTGCGGTGGCGGGGGGTGCTGTTGGCATCGCGGGGTACAGGCACGGGTGCCGCTAACCAGCCCACCATGCACACCCGGGATGGTCCCCGGCCTCCGCCGTGGCCCAGGCTGTGGTGCTGCTGCTGAGGAGGAACCTGCTGCAGGAAAGGGGAGTCTGCAGAGAGAACGGAACCTCAAACACGGATGTAAAGCAGTCCCGGCTAAGCACCCCTGCCTTCGGAAGCCCCTCGCACCCAGCTCACCCCCCGGGCCCTCGGGAGCCGGCAGGCGGCCGGACGAGCCCCCTGGGCTTGCAGCCGGCGGCGCCCACGGATAGGCTCTGCATGACACATCGGAGCAGAGGAGTGTGACCGAGGCCGAGGAGGGGCCCTCCCCCCTGGCCCAGTTCCCTTTGCTAATGAGCAACGTATTTTCATGTTCTCGGTTCCTCCTAGCCAGCCAGCCGTGGTGATAGGATGATTCACACCTCGAGGTTGTTGCGAGGCCCAGGGGAGGCTTTGCCGGCCTCAGGCCTCAGGAGCGTGCCTGCCGGCCAGGGCTTGGCTGTATGGGTCCCCACGCCCGGATCTCCTCCACCTCTCAGTCCTGCACCGACCCCCTCTCGGGGCTGGGAGGGTTTTATTCAAAGGCCCGCCTTAAAGGATGCACACAACCCAGGGGCAGGCAGCGCGTCCCCGGTGAGGAAGCAGGTCTGCACAGAATTTAACGCAAAGATCAGAATAATTCTTCCACCCTTTCATCGGTGACGGTAGCTCTTTCTTGTGGTAACTCGCACAGAGATGCGTGGGGTTTCCCAGTGACCCAAAGGGGCCTCGGGCAGGCCTCCCCCGAGCTGCCAGGCCGAGAGCTCATCGCTGCTCCACCACAGCCCCTCAGCCCTCCCTGGGCAACTCGCTGTGAAAGGAAGCTTCCAGAACGCTGTCCGCCGGGCCTGAGGCCGCCTACCACGCCCTCTGCTTCAGGCAGGCCGGATTCTGGACAGTCTCCTTTAGACAGCAGAGAGTGTGCGAGGAGGCAAGCTGCTGAAAGCTTCCGTATTTTATTTTTTTAAAATATATATTTTATTGATTTTTTACAGAGAGGAAGGGAGAGGGATAGAGAGCTAGAAACATTGATGAGAGAGAAACATCGACCAGCCGAAACCGGTTTGACTCAGCAGTAGAGTGTCGGTCTGCGGACTGAAAGGTCCCAGGTTCGATTCCGGTCAGAGGCATGCACGTTGGTTTTGGGCACATCCCCGGTAGGGGTGTGTGCAAGAGGCAGCTGGTCGATGATTCTCTCTCATCGACGTTTCTAGCTCTCTATCTGTCTCCCTTCCTCTCTGTAAAAAATCAATAAAATATATTTAAAAAAAAAGAAAAAAAGAAACATCGACCAGCTGCCTCCTGCACACCCCCTACTGGGGATGTGCCCGCAACCAAGGTACATGCCCTTGACCGGAATCAAACCTGGGACCTTTCAGTCCACAGGCCGACGCTCTATCCACTGAGCCAAACCGGTTAGGGCTCATCAAGGTTTGGTGGGTAATCCTCACCCAAGAATATTTTTCCCATTGGTTTTTTTTTAAAGAGAGAGAGGAAAGGAGGGGAGAGGTGAGAGAAAACACCGAGGTGAGACACACACAGACTGGTTGCCTCCCATACACGCCTGGCCCAGGAACGAACCTGCAACCCACCCAGGTACATGCCCTTGACTGGGTCTTGAACCCGGGACCCTTCGGTGCGCGGGCCGACACTCTAACCAGTGAGTCACACAAGCCAGGGCTCATCAAGGTCTGTTCTTCTAGACTGAACTGTGATGAGCCCCGGAAATAAAATATCGAACATAAACGTCCATGAGCAAGGAATGCTGCCGGGACCCTCAGCGTGGGTCTCTCTCACACACCCGCCCAATCGCCTCCGGTTAGAAACCAGCCCCTGTGCTCCACACCGTGTCCCTTCTGACTCCAGACGGCGAGAAGAGACGCTTTTTGTGAGAAAGGAGCAGTGGGTTTCAATTTCACAGATGAAGCAGGCAGACATCCCCAAGAGACACACTGCCCCCCGAGAGCTGGGGAACTCAGACACTCGGGCCCTAACCCCGCAGCCAGGCGCCAGACAGCCCGGCCAGGCTCTCGGCCGGGGGTGTCCCCCAAACTCCCCGCCACGCCACACTGAAGACGCTGAATGGAGGTGACCTGACAAGCAGCCGGTGCCAGAGGGTCTCCCATGACAGGTGCCTCCTGCTCCAGCGGGGCCGACAGAGACCACCGGGGGCCTGGAGCTGAGAGATCCTGAGCCAGAGGCTCACATAAACACGTCAGCATAAAAAGGCTCCATCCCTGAGCCTCGTTTTACAATCCGAGCATCCTACTGTGATTCTCTCGTGCGCATGCTCTGAACTGGTGTTTCTGCTGTTAGATGGATCTCGTGTCGATGTTACTATTAAAAAAAAAATAAAAAATTATTGATTTTTTTTTTTTTTTTTACAGAGAGGAAGAGAGAGGGATAGAGAATTAGAAACATCGATGAGAGGGAATCATCGATCAGCTGCCTCTTGAACACCCCCTACTGGGGATGTGCCTGCAACCAGGGTACGTGCCCTTGACCGGAATCGAACCTGGGACCTTTCAGTCCGCAGGCCGAAGCTCTATCCACTGAGCCAAACCGGTTTTGGCAATGTTACTACTTTATGACTGGCCCATCGAGAAGATCTCAGTAAGGGCAGAGGGGGTTCTTCCCCTCCCTGACACCCTGGGAGGAAGGAATGGAATTTTGAAGGCTGGCTGGACAACTTTTGAAGGAGACTCAAGAGGTATCTTCTAAGATGCCCTCCTCTGAGCTGGACAGTGGAGGCCGGGGGTGGGCTCGGGGGCCCTGCCGCCTGTGCCCTCAGCAGGCCTGACCCCTCCATGCCCCTGCCTGGTCTGGTCCCCTGAGCATGCCTGGGTGGGTCTGGCTGAAGCTGGCACCAGGCACGTTTTAAGAGCTCTGGGCTGGATTTTGGCAGGTCACCCGACCCCACCATCTCCCCGAGTTTTTTATTCAGACCTTGGAATACTGTGTCAGTGAGAGAGCCAGGCAGGAGGAGGGGAAGTAACGAATGAAACACCAAAAAGTCCCAGGCCTGCCCTGGCCGGTGTGGCTCCGTGGTCCCACCAAAGGGTCTCAGGTTCGATTCCCAGCCAAGGGATGTACCTGGGTTGCAGGTTCAATCCTTGGTTCTGTCAGATGCCTGTGCATTGGGTGCCAATAGCGACAACCAAAAATGTCTCCGGACATTTTCAAAGGTCCTCTGGGCGAGAACCACGGCTTTAAACAGCTTTTTATTAACGGGCCTTTATCCCATCCCGTTTCTGACAAACACAATGTCGCTAATGTGTTCTTGGACATACTTCTTTGTATGCATGAGCACTTCTAGAAGATTCCTGGAAGTGAAATTATTGGGAGAAAGCATTTTTACACTTAAGATTAAAACATATATATATATATATATATATATATATATATATTTTTTATTGATGATTTTTTACAGAGAGGAAGGGAGAGGAATAGAGTTAGAAACATCGATGAGAGAGAAGCATCCATCAGCTGCCTCCTGCATACCCTCTACAGAGGATGTGCCCACAATCAAGATACATGCTCTTGCCAAAACTGGTTTGGCTCAGTGGATAGAGTGTCAGCCTGCAGACTGAAAGTCCCAGGTTCGATTCCAGTCAAGGGCATGTACCTTGGTGATGGGCACATCCCCAGTAGGGGGTGTGCAAGAGGCAGCTGATTGATGATTCTCTCTCATCGATGTTTCTAACTCTCTATCCCTCTCTCTTCCTCTC